GGAGGGGCTGGGAGCAGCGAGGGGGAATAACAGTAAGCGGCACACGGGGTGACGGACTGCGGCAGACAGGAACCCCAGGCGGGAGGGATGCCCCATGCCCGCTGCCATCGCCGCCATCATCGCCATTGCCGCCATGGGGACATTACCACGGGCTCGGCGTTCTCGTCCTCCCGCAGCCGCAGGCGGTGCAGCACCGGGCTGGAGACGCGGGCCAGACCGTTGGAGAGCCGCTGCCCAATGGCCCCTGGGTCGATGTCCTCCACGCTGCTGGCGTTGACAATGACATCCACGCCCTGGAGCAGGGTGAGCAGCCATCAGGGACTGGGGTCGGTGCCCCAGAAGCATCGTCCCCTTCCCCGGCATCACCCACCTGGAAGAACTCGGCGATCTTGGCCACGTGGCTGGCGCAGGCACATTTGCGGGCATCCGGCACATCCTCACCCACCTGCAGCAGCCAGGGAGGAGCTGAGCTGGGGAGCGGTGGCAGGGTGACCCCCACCCCGCTGACCACCATGGGGCAGCGGGACTGTGGGGCACCCACCGCGGGCTCTTCCCTCACACCCAGCCATGTCCCTGCCAACACTGCAGACCTGGTGGGCACGCCACCCCCCCCAGCACAGCCCCCTCCACTCACCCAGTTGACGAGGACATATTTGGGGAGCACAGCCTGGGGGTCCTTGACGCTGCAGAAGCCATACATCACCTTCTGGATCTCAAAGTGGCCGGAGAGCTCCAGCAAACCTCCACCTGGCACAGCACCGTCAGCCCACATCCACCCAGCACCAGGATGGGTGCCGGGGAAATCACCGGCACAGCCAAGCTGGCTGCAGGGACAAGAGGACCTTACCTCCCGACGCTGCCAGCTTCAGGTCATCGGAGCCATCCTCGTATGTGTAGAGGGCCCTGGGGAGACAGTGCAGGTGAGCCCCCACCTCCCCATCCTGCTAACACTGAGGTCAGTGAAGGACTGGCCAGGTGTCCCCAAGCTGCCACACAGCCATCCCAACCCCTTGTGCATCGCCACCGCAAAGGACCAGGCTGACAGGCAGGACTGTGGGCAGGGCCTATTCCCCTACCCCGCGGGCTGGCAGCCATGGGACAAGGTCCCAAGGTTGGGGACAGAGGGGTCACTTGGGCACCGGGACCAGCTGGCCGCTGTCCTATGCCGTGCCACAAGTCACGGCAGCCTCGTAGCTCCTCGCACACCCATCTCTGTCCCCCCCTGACCCCGCCGGTTACCGACCAGCCTTGGGGACAACCCCACGCCCCGGCAGGGAACTCGGGGACGCTCACATGCCCG